TGTGGAGAGACCAGAACAAAGGTCAAACGTGCGATCGCAGGTCGAAACCATTCACTCATTCACTCTCTATCTCTCTCCACATCTGGAGCGTAAACTCTCACACTGTCTCCTTTTTCTCCCTCGGCTCAGAACAGCTGGATCGCTGTTCACCTGGGGGGGGGGCATTCCCTGGCTCCCAGGTGAGGTCAGTCCACCCTGGAGGGGGCAGTATTGCTCCAGTAAGGGTATTTGTCTGGTCTTGTTCCACCTCCACCCACTGATATCTCCCTCCACCTGATCCATGGCCTGAGGGGACCAAGCAGCTGAGGCAGGAGAGGGAGAGAGACGTGTCTCTTGTCCTCTGCTGTCCAATTTGGACCTTCCTCCTGTTGACTTTTTGGACATTGCCGCTGCACTGGCCTGTCACATCCAATGTTTGCAAACCAGCTGAAGATGTGGAAGTTTCAGGAAGAAGAAATTATGCAATTGTGCCGAACACTGACATCTTATATAAGAATCAGAAGTTTGCTTTTCAGTGGCATCGTGCAGGAGGTAGAATCAGAAGTTAATATAACACATAACAATAATATTACACGTGGAAAGAAACTTTTTGATATGATTTGAAGAATATCTCCAAATGTATAAAATGCATCTCCTCCCTTTTGGGGATGGAGGAATGAAATGATGACTCAGGGAAACAAAAGAGGTAACACTGCTCATCAGAATCAGCAGAAGAAAGTAAGATGAATATAGCAACTGTTAAAAAAGATATATAGTTACATATTTATACTGATCACAAATAATAAAACAAAGAAATTATAATATAAACTATGAAGAGTGAGAATAAAGCAGACTCGGACTGTGGGTATGTCTGTGCACTTAAAAACACTCTCATGCAAAAATAATCGTTGACAGTTTGCTCGTAATTGCTCCGAGGAGAAATCCTTCGCCCAACAACGTCAGACTTTGACAAAGCAACATTTAAATCGGATAAACAGCCCGAGAGAAAAAAAGAGAGAGAAAACAGCACATCTAAGAAATAAAGAAAGAGTTGGTTAAAAACACTGCACTTCATAAAACCTGCAGTAAGAGTGAGCCGGGCTCGGTAACATTATCCACCCACCAGCACCACTGAGACTCACTAACGACATATCCTGATTGTTTAATGAGATTTCACAGAGCCAGGTTTCCCACTGTTTAGATGCTAATTCAAGCTAAATGACTATTTCGCTTTGTAGAATCAATTTAATCATCTAACTCAACATCTAAGAAAGTGAATAAAGTGCTAAAATGTTTTATTTAAAGCTAATGTATGGTATAATGACTGAAGGACACTATTTACATAACATGATTTAGTACCTGCTACTAAAACACACAATTTATTGCATGTATTTGTTTGTGTTTTCTACTGAAAGACAAACACAATAGAACTAATTACAGCAGAAATCTTTTGTAGATGAAAAAAGGCCAAGATCGCTCTGTGACACATCCTCCCACTTCTGTGTACACATCTATATATTGACGAATGGTGACTTCCTTAGTATGCACTCTGTATTGATTATTGCAATTACCCACTATTACGCTTCTATTATCCGCACTGACTGTTTTTAATTACACTAGAGAGCGAGAGGGAGAGTGAAGGAGGAGGGGGAGAGAGACAGTTAAAGTGTGTGTGAGAGAGAGAGCGACACTATACAGATAGATGGATGAAGCGAGACACTGCAGCAAACTAATTAAAACAGAAACTTTTTGTTTCAGCGAGCTGACAAGGAATGAATCTGGCAGGGAATTAATCTGTCCACGGGGAACACAATAAGGAGTCGCACACTCATAGTATACACACACACAGGCACGCACGTGCACACGCACAGGAAGGTGCAATGCAGAGTGCCGTTGCCATGGTTACCGAGCGTGCCACCACATCATGCGGCAGAGTTAATGCAGAGGTGTGTGCATGTGTGTGTGTGTTGTTTAAGATTTCACTTCATCACGGCCCTGACCTATTCCAACATCCTCTGGACAAGTAGCACAAAGGTTGCAGATGTAAATCCAGACTGTTCCCTGTTGAAACAGCCGAGTGCTCACCGTTGGCAACAGCCTCCAGTCTGTGGCTCTTACCCTTGAGGTGAAGTGTCATTTAATCATCTGCAGCGGGTGACGACATGTTGAAGGAAAATATTTGGCGAGCAAGAAAAGCACTTAAAGTCAAGACCTAAATTAAGATGTTTCTCTGAGTAGATCAGAAATTTGGGGCATACTGAATATAACCTCATGGATTTACTGTTGTATAAACTAACCAAGCTATAATATGAGTGGCGTTTATGGAGTGTGTGTGTGTGTGTGT